AAAAAGACAGAAAAATAGTTTTTTCAAATTAGTTGCATTTTTTTAAAAAAGCTTTCTCCCATGTCCGATCTTTCCGAACTACGCATACCTGATTCTCGTCCCACATAGGGCCCGGTCTTCCTAGTGAGTCTTAGGTTCTTGGCTTCGCGGGGTCTTAGCCAAATCTTGCATGTCTAGCCACATTTGGCCACATCGGCCGTGTTGCAAAATAGGGCTATTTTGCGAAGTGGCTTGTTGAACCGTGTTTGGAGAGCCTAGAATCTTTGAATCCTTAAAAAACTATTTATGTTTGTTTCTCCATTGAGTGCACGTTTGGTATATGCTCGCAGTAGAGTGTGTTGCTATCAACTGGAGGCGAGTTTTTCATCCATAACTGTACTATAAGATGCACAGTTAAATTCTTTTGCGCATCACTTACAAGAGCCATGATTTTCACGTTCTTAAGGACGAAAGCCATGGCTATACGAACTGGGCTTCTAATTGTACTAAGTGGCGATGGAAAGAACATGTGCGACGAATTCCCGATCGGGGATTGCCAAACTTTGGCCAATTTCCTCTGGCTTTCCTGATTCTGAAGGGCGTAAGCGAATCAGACATGCGGACTTTCGTTTTCGTCCAAACACAGAGTTCATATGTGAAGTCATGCAAGACGAGTGGGTAACTGTCAATTCTCAGGAGATATAATATGGAAATGGATAAACCTTGTGCATCTTATGTGAGTCGTCCTTCAGGGGTATGGTGCAGTAACGAAATCTCCTCTTTGGGATATGGAATGTTGGGTCTTATCACTCTTCGGCAGCGATATCATCTTGCGGTAGAGTAACCTTCCACACTATGAGAGATTGCATATGTAACCCATTAACACGCCTATCTGGCAGCCGATTAATCGTTTATAGAGAGTTTGAGAGTTCTTGTGGATCATAAGATTTGAATTATTCTTGTGAGTCTTAACACCTGATCCTCGAAATCAAGCAAATGGAGATGTCTTTCCCGTGACTGGTGCACAGATCTGCGTGAGACATCCATGTTGTAAAGTTCCCAGCCAGGTTCTATATGATTTCGGACTGGGCGTATGTCCGGATTTGGTTATGATAACCCGTGAAGCAGTCGCTCGTTCGGGGATGATTTTGCGTATAAGTTAGAATTTTAGAAATGATCATTTCTAAAAAGAAATTTGGTGTCGGATTAGTGAGCTATATCCTTCTTTGTCCAGTGGTGATGTAACAAAAGCCAATGCAGAATTCCTCTCGATATGTTGCAGCGAGATCTCCACAACCAGCCGTATTCTGGAGTAAATTACTAAAAGCTCCGCGTATCACTATTTTGCAGTGCCAAAGTAGCATTTAATGCCTCTGCGATCGTATGGGCAAGATTATGTAAGCCACCGAGCGGGGCTGATCCTCCTTCGTGAACTAGGTCTTAGGAGTGAGCCTTCGGTGTCAAACGTACAGTCAGGACTATTTTGAAACGATCCAGTTTCTTTCTGGGCTAAATATTTGTAAAAACGATTTTGGGAGGAGAAGTTGTATGGACCAGGTTTTTGTGGCTTTCTCTCAGCAGAGAAATAAATGGCACGACCCTTCGGACAGTTCCAAGGTACCAAAATTTATTATGGCAAAAGTCACTAAATGCGTTCGCCATTGGGTCGGAATGCGAATTTAGAGAATAAAAAAAAATTGTTTTAAATACCAAAGTCACAATAGCGTAATGCGTTCCGCATCACTGCTACAAGCTCGACAAAGTGGGCAATATGTTGCCTTGGGTTCCCTTTGCCATCAAATTGATGCAGCTTTGGTGGTTATAATTGGTTGGCATGGTTAAAACAATCAATCCTCTTAGTATAAGGCTTAGAGTAGTACACGAACTTGCGATGGTCTGCCATATGAGCTCTGATGGTGTTTGTTATCATGTCTTGCAATTGTTGGAAGATAAGCCGCAATTGAAGTAGATTGCTTTTCCTTTTGAATGTTTAACTTTGCAAATGATTCCTCAATAGCTGTTTTTTGGGAGGTGAAGATAGGTGAACAAGGAGGGACATGGCTCGACTCTCCAGGTGCATAGGCCTCCAATTTGTTCATGAGTTGAGCGATTTGAAGGTCTTTGTCTTCAACAGATTTCTTAATACCCTACAGTCTGTTCCATCATGGCAAACTTTTCGTCCACGTTAGTTGCGTCAGTCTTCAAGGCATTGACTTTCGTTGAAACTGAAGAATCCACCAAATCCTCAAATCCACCAAGGTTTGAGGCTGTTTGAGAAAGTTCGTCAAACAACGAGAATGGGGTGTTGCCCCCAGAGATTGCGGTTGCGAACGTCATATGAGATCTGCTCTTCTTTGCCATCTCCAAGGAGGTGAAGTATTCGGATCCATCGAAGCCACTAGCCTTGAAGTTGCTTCGAGTGATTGGGCCAACATGACTGAGCTCAGCGGATGCGGCAACTGTAGCATCTTTGCATGAAACATCACACTTGCGGAAGGCCATTGTAGCAATAGATCTGAAGTTTGTAGTTTTCAATTTGCAAGAAGGAGAGATGAAGGGCAGAATTGGTCCCACTGGGCGTGCCAAAATTTGTTCGCAACAAATTTTCGTAGTACGAAAAATAAACTGCAACAAAAATAATATGAAGAAAAAGTGATTTTATTGATAAATATTTGTGAGTACAATTCTATGTATCCCTTGATTCTCCTCTCTAAAATTCTCCGTGATTTGAGGGCTTGGGAAGCGTCTTTCTCGAATGTAGGATGATGCAGACCTCCTTGTGATATATTTAATCGCCAAGAACGTCGAGCAGCACTTTGTTGTTACGGGTTGATCTCCGGGAAGAACTCCGTTAATCACTCCTTTGTTGAAGAACTATGCACGTGATGATTGATCTCTCTGTTTGTGGATGCCTTCACCAATTGCGGAATGCTCTTCTCCAACTCTGAATTCTGAGAGTTATGTAACCCCTCTATTTATAGTTGTAGGGGATGGACAGTCCAGTTACATATGAACTCTCTTGCTTGATTCTGATTGGCTCATGTCATTTTAGCCACTTGGCGACCTGTGGTTGGTTCTTGCTTTTTGAATTGGATTGCCACATCATTTAACACGTGACGTCATCTTTTTGGCTTGCAGTTTGACTAGATATGCCATGTCACTTGACACATGGCATGAGTCTGGGCCTTAAGATGAAGAGAACCTTGGGCTCGAAACTAATAAAATGGACTAATTTAACTTGTAAAGCCCAAATTAATTATTTAACCCAATTGAATTTAATCCAAATTTTGTATGGATTAGACCCAATAAATTTCATATGTCTACAGGTATTACCAATAATATTCATGAATATGCTAATGTTCTTAGCTGATGCTGATAATTCTATCCATCCTAAAGCAAAGAAATAATGTAATGCAAAAGAAGATAACTTTTCAATAATGCAACAGCAGAGACATCCAAATGAACAGTAAGAGGTGTAAGAGGTGTAAGGACAGTAAGTTCTTTTGTTTTTTC